TAATACCAAACCAGCCATTTGCCACTAAAAAAAAAAGTGAAATAGGATATCATATGATTTCATTACTTTGTAGCATTTCATCACTTTGCTTTCTATGTGTAAAATTTTGCATACAGTGTTAATCCATCCAATCTTAACGTCATCATTGGCAGCCTCAGCTTTTCTGAGAACTGGACTTTAAAAGTCAAAATTACAGCCAATCTTTCTGAAAACATTAAATGAACAGGGAAATAAAGGGAAACGTGCAATTACTAAGAATCTCAAAAGTAGAGTTATGTCTCTCCATCTTTCGTTTTCACTGCAAACCACTCAGCTCTGATTTTTGTGTTCCTGTTCGTAAATCCAGAGGGAAGGCTGTGGGTGGCGGGCTGCATGGGTGTGGGAGGATACACTGCCATCTAATAGTGGAATCAACCCTTTCAGTTGACAAAGACAACATCCACATCTTTAGATGGTTTATTTGATCTGCATGAAAGAGTGGCAGTGGTATTTCTGGCACTTGAATAAGCGGAAACAATATTTTTGGCTAGAGAAACTTCTGAGTTCTCTCAGGGAGCCTTCTAGAAGGCCATCTGGACCAAGCAGTATTTCTTTTGTAAAGCCCTGCATTTGGAAACAGAAATGAAAGGTGTGCGAGCGGCAATCAGACACCTAAGAAAATGATCAGCTTTCAATATTTTGGTAGGAGACATTTATTACTGTTTGTAAAGTTTCCAGATGAAGAGACACACATAGAAAAAAAACCTCTTTCTTTATTAAGAGATAAATTTCCAGTTTGTATTCCAGTAGAAGATGTGTTTATTAATGTGAACTTAGCAACTTGTGCTATTTTTCTCTGAAGAGTGAAATTAGAATGACTGTTCTGTGTGATATTTACAGTTGTTAGTCAGGCAGTGATCTTGTTTTTGACATTTGTAATTGTTCATTGAACCTAGAATTTAAAGATGAACACTTCCCCTTCCTCAGTCTTTAGCCAACTTGTGAAGCTATAATGAATGGGAAAACATGAAAAAAAGTAAACAAAATCCTTCCAAAAACCAAACAAAGCACTTACAGCCAGGATATGAATACAAGAGAATGTTTGGAAAACTGAAAATGAAGCAAAGCCATATTTGTAGCCAGATACTGCAAAATATGAATATTCAAGCAAAGTGTCTTTAACAATTTTACAAACATAATACACTGTACTATTCTTTCATATTTTTCTATTAGAGTCTCCGTTTACAAAGAAATAGTAACCTCCTATATTAAGATTTCCTGTGATTAGTGATTGTTTTAAAAAAGCAACGGGCTGTTTCCTTTAGCTGTCATTTTTGCCTAAGAAGTAACAAATACGGAAAGATAAAAATCTTAGCACTAAGTTCATAATATAGAATTGAGAAAATACACGTTAGCATACATACTTGAATGTATATATGTTGTATAAACATGTATGCTATATGTATTTGTTTATATAAAATTATCATTTCTCTTGATATCAATATTAGCTAATTATTTACTTGAGATGTTTTCAAATATCCAACTTTTATAGCATATAAAATTCTTTATTGATAAAAAAGAACTATTAAAATCCTATTACTTTAATGAGCAATACTAAATTCAGTTTTGACTGATTTTCAAATATTAATGGAATCACCACTATTATTAAAAAAGACATAAAAATGGAATTAACTTTTAAGAAAATCCTTTACAAATTTAAAACAAATCATGTGGAAAGGATTTACCCTGGCTAAAGGCATTTTACCAAATAATTAGAAACTAAAATGATGGCATGCAGGTTGTATCTCAAAATACATTTTTCTGGAAGGATGGAAGAAAAGTCAGTTTGATTAATATCGTGGCTGGAGGCCTTACAGCTGATGTTGGCTAAATTAAAACCATTTTAGTTTATGGGAATTAACATAAGAGCACAGATTATTTGGAATATTTAAAGTTTTTCCAACAGATTTTAATAAGGTAAGATAATCAAGATTCCCCACTGTCAGTCTCTAGCCCTAACTCTGATTACTGAGTGCTATTGTGCCAGGCAAAATTTTCTAGCCTGAAAATACCTCTCCATTTCCTGAAACAAAGCAGTCACAAGCATCACTGCCTGCCAAACAGGGACAGATGATATGAGCTGATTGTTACTTGTTTTAACGTAAAGTGATTGTCTATACTAAGGACACCAAACTTTATTTCCTTAGAACTTTTAATTAAAACACCCCCAAAATTCTGTGATACCAGCCCGAACCTCAATAATTTATCTGCTCATGGTCTAAGTAGTCCCATGAACTTTGTCATTTGGAGAGGACAGGAAGAAAAGGTAGTAATTTTATTTGTGAATAATCGTAATGATTATTACTATAGAAAACAGAAATGACCCAGCACCCCCTGTGGAACTTCAGCTCTACCTTTGGTGTTTGGGCCGGATGGAATTTAAGATGAGAGCAGGATGAAGCAGAGAAAAGCAAAGATACATAATTTTTCCTTCTTGGGTCATTTCTACTTAAAAGCATTACTTGAATGAAATTTTCATCAGAGGGAGAAAAAAGGTCTTTTGGAAATTTATGACTGTCACACTAGGACACAAACCATCGGTTTCCTATCTTTGAGAGAGTCATCTGTGCTTCGCACAAAATAACTGAGGGTTCATGTTTTCATCAGTGATTCACATTTGAAATAAAACAGACTAGAGGTTTGTTGGCAGCAATACTTTATATAATTGTGCAACCTATTTATACGAAATCTTTGCAAACAGAACCCACATTATTTAAACCCCAAGATCCCCTCAAGATCCAGAGTCACCTACCTGCAGATCCAATTTCTGTGACCAGCCAGTTTATAGGCAAAGTGAAAGAAACATGCTAACTGGATAAAATAACCATATGTCCCTACTGGAAGCCCCATTACTTGAATCATTTCAACCTTGCTGGACAAAACACCAGGAGAATTTGCTGTAGGAAACAAACCTCCACGAATGGGGCAGGGAAGAAATTACCTAATAGTTAGTCTCCCCTCTGCTCTGATTTCCGGTGGTTCTGTGTTAAGAAAAGTCATCCTGCCACACTGTGGTGAGAGCCTATGCCTCAACAAGAGGGCATTTCTTATTTAAAAAAAAAAAAAGTCTAGAATTGAACATTTAAGTTGCCATCATCAAAAGATAGGCAACTTTGGGAACATTTTCCCAGGGAATAACGCTTTTCAAGATACAATGGAAAAGGGTCATTTTCTTCATTCAAAAACTTAAATGCTGAGAAAAGCACATGTTTCTGGTTTGACTTCTGTTTTCTGGCTACTGAAATTCAGGGTAACCTCTCCTATACCCCTATCTGCTTACAATGCCAAATGGCCTCCTTTAATGCTACCCCTTGTGAAACCCAGCTTGGATGGGTCACAGACACATCGCTGGCCTAGACTGGAACTCTGCTCTCTCCTTTCAATGGTCCACATGCTGCCTCAGGTTCCTGTTTCACCAGGAAGTATTTATGAGATGCATGTCCTCAGCTAGCACAAGGCACGTGGCAGAGGTATAGAGCATTCAATGTGAGTGTGCATGGGCAGGGACGCAAGAGAAGAGGGTGGATGGAGTTATTTGCATGTGTGAATGAGAGTCCATGGCTCTTTGTTCTAGGTGAATATCGACATTTATTCATGGGAATCTTGATTTGGGGTTAAGACACAAAAATGGACATTAAACACAAGGTCAACTTAAAATATTGTTTCTATGAAAGGCATTACTTTTCTGATGGCCACTGTTGATGTGAAGTGGAAGGAAGAATGCTGTTTATCATGAAACTGGTTGAAGTCCAAATTGGATATTTCCAATGTAACATATTCTGCCTTTGGGTATTAAGTGTGAGTTTGTGCAAAGATAAGCCTGCTGGTGTGCGTGTGCCCATGTGTGCATGGGTTGAATGTGGACATCCTTAGGGCATGACCCATTTAATACTGCTGCCCACTTTGGCAAGTCCTGGGATTTTCAGGTGTCCTTGCCGCTAGTAAAAAGTACAAGGGACATGTCTCACGTGGATGTCACAGGTTCAGGTTCCCACTAAAAAACAGGATTTTTTTTTTTCCTTTTCCTTTTTTTTTTTTTTTTTTTTTGGCAGGGGGGAATGCTTAATATAAATTTTCTATATTCTTTCCCCTAAGCAATTTTGCATTGTAGGTATCAAAACTTTACTCCTTCTGGAGGTCACAAGGCTGAGTTTAGAGATTACCTCTAGGATAGATTTATAAATGTAACTTTCCCTCCTATCCTCTTAAAAAGAGGCAAACGGTATTATTGCAAATAACCTTTAAGATAATTAACTGACAATGCTGCAACTAGCATAAAATCTTCCTTCAGGCGACACCTAATTTAAGTGTTACTGGCACAAAGTGGAGACAGATTGTGCATTACCACTGCAATATTTACATAGCAGAAACCCACAGAGCAGGAAACGCGAGGCTCAATGATGCACTAAATTAGGAACAACCATACTCCAGTGTTAATTTGCTTTCTATTCCATCCAAATCTCAGGTCCAGAAATTGGTACAAACACATATACAACCTCCCACTCTTAAATGACTAAACCGGAGGAGATTTCTGTACTTTCCCCCCCAAATTAAAATAACTTGAAATTTATTTCTTTCCTCCACAAGAACACATTTGGTCAAACTGTGTTTATTTCATTACAACTTGTTCTCACTTTGATCTAAAATTATTTTCATATGAATGCTGCATAGAAGGCTGTAGAGAAAAACTAAACAGACTTCTATTTTCTCTAAGGCTGCCAATATATTTTATGAAAAGAATAAAATGAGAGACTTGAGAGCCAGCTAGTGAAATATTTAGGAACATGGGCAGGGCAAATCTACCTTAAGCAATTTTCTCACTGGTGAATGTTTTTCCCTCCCCTTCCCCTCTCCCCAAATACAATGAGTTTTCTTAAGCCATTCACACAACATATTTGTTTCATTCTTCCCGGCAATATTTTAAACACCACTTTCACCCAAGGCATTCACAGAACATTTACCTTTCCTAATTGTTGATGTTCTTTAAAGGCAGCAATCAGTTCTTCAGCCCACTTAATTTTTTCAGGGGAAGGAGAAAACTGCTCCTGGACCACAGCAATTTGGTTAGGGTGAATCACCTGCTTACCTACAAGAAGATTAATAACATCAGAACCAAGAAACAACAAACAGATGCGCAAACAAAATGTTTCTATCAGGTGAGGTTCCTGAATGCCTCACAGACTGTATGTTAAATAACTAATTTAAAACTTTTTATGGAGAAAACAAAACAAAACAAAACCTGCAATCAGACAGGCTCTTCCAGAATACCACATAAGAACAACTACAACAATGGAAGTAATTGTGTTTCTGATCCTATAGAAATGCCACCTTAGTGCAGATAATCTCTTATTTTTAATTACAGGTGGGCTGACTAGGCAGCTTGTTGAATAACTACTTTGGCTGGGACTTTAAAGGATAACGTCTGCAAATTAGAGCAATTATTTTGAGTTGAAGTAGAAAAAAATTAAATGAGAATTCTCTCAAATTTTCTAAGTTGTCTTTTGCTTTCTTTGTAGGATTATACTTCCTTCCATGATTTATTTTAGAAGTGGTCTGCTGGTTTTCATTAAGTTTACAGATGTAGTCATTACAACTATATTATTATCAAATACAGTCTTACAATAGTATATTTAATTTTTTTTTTGATGAACATAGTTTATGTGTCATTTCTAACCCCTAACAGAAAATTGGATTTGAATAAAAACACTGTATTCAGTATGGTAAAATAGAAGGCAGATTTGAACACTGCAGCCTCTAGATTACTCCATTTAAAAATGTAAAAACTAGATACTTACAGAAAGTTTCTCTGTCCAAAAATATATCCAGATTTTCCCTTTTGGCTTATAGAATCAAGACTGTGTATTTCTCTCTTTAGAGCACCTTACATACCCCAGAAGAAATCTTATCTCTGTAGAAATGCCTTCCAAAAAGATATATGATTCTTCTTATAGTCAAAAGATTTTAAATAAAAACATCATACAAAGATAAGAGCCACAAGATTTTGTGAAATAATGCAGTCATTTAAAAAAACAATTTAACAACCAGGGAAGTGTGGAATCCAATCGGATCACTAATAAAATGTAACATAATTTAATGCTATAATAATGATAAGATTATATTGTGTTACATGATAAAGTTATGAACATAATTGGCTCTTTAAAAATGATTGTACACTTAATGATCATTTACTCTGCTAAATATATTTGTTGGTATATCAATTTGCTTTGCTTTTGAAATAGTTATTTTTAACATTGAGACAGTACAAATTATATCCTTGATATTTTGTATCCTTGCTGTCAATTTCTATTACTTGTCATTATTCTGTTTGAATGAAAAAAAGAATGATGCTTATAAAAACAGATTTTTAGTGTTTCATGTAAAAGAGTTTAAGTGGATAAACAATATATTTTCTTTCCAATGGCATAAAACATCCTCACATTGCTATTTCATTCTTTTCTGTCAGCATACTCATAAAACGTTAAACACATATAAATAAAGATTATTTAAATTATCTGAGGAATAATTTCTGGGAATGAATAACATGAGGGATGACAAATGAGGGCTTTTTTCAGTCGTAGGTACTGAGATTATATTTAAGTAATCTAATAGTTGTTAGGATATTATTAATAAAGGATGTCAGTTCGGGGAGTCATTTCCTACTAATTGTTAGCCGTGAATTTCTTAATTTATGTACATAATTTACACCAATGCATAAAAGGCCAGATTTCATGGGAACTTCTTGGTACATGCACTATAATTTGAGGAGCAAAAATAAACGACTTAAAATACTGTGAAATCACTGCTGGCTCTCCATTCTCTAGTACCTATATTTTGGCAAGGAGACTAATTTTAAGATACATGTTAGGTTTTAGAAATGTATGAACATTCATATGTGAAGTTCTCTTTTGTCACATCTCTTTTGTCACATCCAACAACTGTATAGTGGACTTTAATGCCATGTGGGAACCAGGCAAATATTTTATACAGAAGAGTTGCTATTGACAAGTTACTGAGAGGTGCAAAATTGGAAGACATTAAAATTTATGACCATGAAATCCTTTCTACAGTACCGCTTGATATATCGTGCTTTAAATCAATACCTGTCAAGTCTTTTAGGTAACTGTATGATGGTATCATTTTTGTCTTCTCCAATAGACTGCAAAAAAGAAGAAAACCTATAGTGCTTCATATTTATAATCTGTCTTCTCAGCATGTAGCACTGGAGTAACTGTAATAACTAAGTTAGCATTTAAAGCTTTATTCCAAGATTTACTTTTGGTTTCTTTTTGATGAAAAAATTCCTAGAGGAGTTAATGGCCATTTATACAGCCAATTCATTGATTTAAAATCAATCGACATGGATTGAGATTCTGGGAAATGATTGTAGAAAAGAAACTACAGCTAACTTTTAAAAACTACAACTCATTAAAAATCTATATCATTTTTTAAAGTACAGGGAATCCTTATTGCACAGACTTAGGCTTCCTTACCAGTGTATGGATAATACAATACTTTCATTGAATTTTAAACCTTTCAACCACCTGCTTCAGATGAGGCATGTCTTCCTTCCTCCATCCCTCCCTTCCTCTTCCCCCCTTTTCCTTTCCTTTTTTTCTTTCCTTCTTTTCCTTCTGCTTGTGCAATGCCCAAGGTATGGCAATCAAATGCCAAAAAACCAGGATGAACAGATACTGAGAGGTCTAAAATACTCATTAAAAAACACTTATTTTTAAAAATGACTACAAATAATCTTCTACCTTATCTGATTGATTACCTCTTATTGGTATGCAGAAATATAACTGGGACAACAAAGGCCTTCTCTCTAAAAATTGCAAACTGCCTACAAAGTGTGGCTCCCTAGTTATGGCCTGGTTCCCTTGAATATATAATGGGCACCGTGCCCTCTGTGCCTTGCCATTATCCTCGCTTCCCCCCTTTTTTTTAGCGATTTAATACTCCCCATTGTGGAGAAACAATAGTGCCAGGTCCATAAGCTCCTCGTGCTGAGTTGGGCACAGTCTAGAAATTTAAACCTGATTTGAAATAGCCTGTCTTCTGCGATTGAATTAGGGGCCAAGTTAATTCAGTCCTGTATCTTGGAGACGCTCTCAAGCTCCCGGAGAAGTTCTGGGGCAAACGTTTACCCCAGAGGAGGCAGAGGAAACTCAGATTCTGCTGAGTGATGGTGGAGGGGTCAGTGTCAATGCAGTGCTTTCTCTTTTTTATTGAATTAATTCCCATTTCAGAGCAACATCTGGCTGCCTGGCAGCCAGTGCCATACATTTCAGGCCAACAACATCAGGGTCTATTAGATAAATTTCATGGAGTTTTTCTCCAACTTTTCCATTTGGGTCACATCCTAACCAGTCGTTGGAAAGAGGCAGGAACAAGCACAATCCCATGGATGTGGCAGAGGACTCCTCTCTTCCTCAGTCACTATGAAATGCAGGCAGGATTCGTTTATTAATGGCTCAGATAATTGAAGAATATTTCTCTATATGGGATCACATTTATTTAAAAAATTGAGGGGATCATATTTAGCTCCTTGTGTAAAAAACACAAGAATAAACTCAGAGCTTTATTTAACTAGAATATAACAGTAAAATAGCTTCTTAGGTCGTTCAATTTTATTTTGGACTAAATCATCATGCATTAAGATATTTTTTACATTTAAGGCTGCTTTATGAAACGTTTCTTTTGGTAACCGCTACCTAGATACATTTAAAAAAATATTTATAACAGGAGTATCGGGATGATTGTCTCTTTTCCTTATTACTCGGGCACCTTTCTGATATTAATATTCTTAGAACTTTCAACAGAAGAACAGGTAAGAGTGAAGGAGTGCATCGTGTTTTTCCCATGGTTGTCAGTGTGTGTTTGTGTGTGTGCAACTGCATGTGTATGTTTATGTGTAGAATCCTATTGCGGTTTTTCAAAAAATAGATCTCTGTTGTAAAAACACAATTTTCAGGTGCTCCCCTGGCTCATGGGGACCTGAGTGACCAGGCACACGAATCAACAGATACCCGTCTGTGCCCCAGACAGGACTGCAAGGAACCCGCTGATCCTAGTGCCAGCCTATGCCCGTAGGTGTCACCAGCCTATGCCCGTAGGTGTCACCAGCCTATGCCCGTAGGTGTCTGTGTGGACACTTACTGGGAGGTAGGAGAGAAAGGAGGGGCTTGGACAGGCAGAAGAGCAAAAAACTAGTTATGAGTAAAAAAAACAAAACCAAAGACAATATCACCAACATTTTTTTTCCAGAAATGAGTTAAAATTTGAAAATTCTAGGAGATTTTTCTTCCATCCTTCAACCAAAATTCTTATGGTGGTTCACTCAGAAATGCTTTTTTTTAACAGCCTCCTCCCTCCCTACAGGTCAGCCAAGACTACAACAAAATGATTAAGAGGATGGAAGAAAAAAGGGCAACTAATATAAAGAGGAAGTAAAATGAATGATTTGTTGTTTGACTTGCGGGGCCAAAGAAAACCATGACAGTGTGTCTGGCAAGTTCCTCCTCCGCGAGGCTTTTTTATGTTTCCAATAGTGGGATAAGTGTGGGGGATGCCTGATGACATCAGAAGAAGTGTCTTCGGGTCAAATTCCTACTTTTCTGGAATGCTTGCTAATTTAGACACTGCTTTCTAAGACAGGAATCATACCAGTGAAGCCCATGGCAGCTCCTTCTCGCGACTGTCTAAGAAGCCCATCTCCATCTCGAAAGTCAATGTACACCAGATCTATGGCCTGGAGACCAAAGGCTTTCGCTACGACAACAATCTTTTGCCGGGCGTAGAGAATGTCCAGGGTTTCTTTGCTACTTGTTGCACCTGAAAATGGGATGTTAACAGAAAAAGGAGGCTTTAACTTTGGAAACTGAACCTAGACATTGATGATAAAAACTCAGTTTGTGCAGACATATACACCTCCCTGGGAATTGTTCCTCCGCAAAATAATTATTCAAATATAAATGAAGACAGGCATACGTGGAGGCCAAGTTAAATCTCACATGTGTCTGTTTAACTGACAAGGCATCTTTCAATAGAATTGCTTCTACCTGCATTAAGAGAAGGCCCCTTCCCCATTCCAGGAGGCTGGGTCAGGGTCGCAAGAGACCTCCTGATACGTTTTTTTTCCTTCTTATCATCGCCTGAAAAGTGCCAGTCCGAAGACAGCACCACAAAAGGTGGCCCAGCAGCTGTGCAGGGCAATGGTTCGCTTTTCACAGCAAGCACAGAACTGCGTGTGCTGTGGCTGGCATGCCCTGTCCAAAGTGAAGTTCTGAGCCAAATGCCTCAGCTTCAGGGTCGGGATGGACAACTTGGGAAGATGGGAGGGCACTTGTTTTCAGAGGGCCAGAAAGCTTGGATATGCCTTCTACAGCCTGCTGAACTGCTGGATACACAAGTCTCCTGGAAGGACTCACATTAAAATACATTCAGTTTTTTCACCCTGAGGGGAGGGAAGTGTCCCTATTTATATTCGGAACATGCCACTCCCTGCTCAGGGAAAGTGCCTGTCTTCAGGTCACTGGGACTGGTTTCTGGCCTCGGCCTCTTTTCTAAATGCTTCACGGTCTCCAGTCACACACGCAGACCCCTCGAGTGCAGCCCAAGACGGATGGTGAGAATCCGTGAAAATCAGCACATTTAACATGAAGAGTTCAAAAAACACATTGTAAGAGAAATTTAAGGTCCATTTAAAATAATATTTACATACTGTATATTTTACGTGGAAAACAATTCATTAAGGCAAATATGAAATCACCTTAAATTTGCGTTAGAAATCTAGACAGCCCTCATACTGACGTGAAAACAAAATACTGAAGCAACGGTGAGGCTGTTCACATAATATATTTATTAGGCACAAAGAAGATGCCAGATATTCCTGAGCATGCCTGGGGCTGCAACAGGCTTTCCATTGCTCCTGTCTTTTATAAATGAACACAAGTCATAATGCAGTGTTCTAGAAGCAGGGCAGCTATGAGGAGCTCTAAATTATCAGGAAGTAGTGTCCACTCCATTGTCATGAAAAACCATTGTCACGGTTGGCAAATACATATTGTTATGTAAATATCCATTCCTGAGGGGCAAAGACAAAATATATACACACGTATACACACACACAGAAAAAGAGAGAGGTGTTTGACACCTATGCTGGCTCGAAAGTCTTCTCCTCCAAAAACGACTGCATCTAGAAAGAGACCCACTTGAGGCCCGATCTTGAGGGTTTCTTCACACACTGCCTGTAAAAGAGCAGAACAGAACCAAGGCTCACAGAAACGTGTGCGTCAGAGGGAAGAGGCACGGTGCATTTCAGTAACAGGACGACCTGACTCTTAGTTTGGCTGAAAGCATTCCTAAAAACGCAGCCCAAATGTACCCCTTTCAAAAGGTATTTAATATCATTCAAGATAAGTGTATTGTATATATTTGCTTTGTTTAATGGATTATATTAATAGAGTTATAATGTTCAAATTGTAGCTCATCTCACTTTTGGAGCAGCTTTGAGTTAACTAATTTTGCTTGCTTGTAAGTTATTTATATTTTTCCAGAATTTGTTTTTGCTTTAAGAGACTCTTGTAAAACCATAGGGGAGAAGGAAGGAATTTTAAAGTCAAACTAATTGAATTATTTGCATTAGGATTAAGCACATAGTCTCAGGATTAAAGACAGTACAAAAACCTACAACTCCAGAGGAGAAAATAAAAATGCAACAAGTCATCCAAGATGTGTTGATAAAGCAACTTCGACATTTATAATATGAAAGTCAAGGCAAATAGCATTCGTCAATAGACATAACCGTGAATCTTGAAGGGTGGAGATAGAACCTGCTAATATATGTGGGTGGGAAAGAAACAAGGAACCGATGGGGACACTGGTGATTACTTTCAGACATTGTAAGTGCTTCTAGGTACATTATGGAATAAAATGTCGAAGCAGTGCTTAAAATTAAATCACTGGATGAATCTGGTTGCATCTAAGGGATATGCTTTTGATTATATTCTCAGGATTCTAAGGCTGGCTGGAAGAATTTACGGTTAGTTGTATAAACAAGCTGCTCACGGGACAAGGCTTGAAGCAGCTCCCCAAACATTTGCACTCGACCCCTTCTGCACAGCCCAAGGTCTCAAAGTTGCCGCTCACACATTCTCTCTTTAGTACATTTTGACTATGTTTTTTTTCCTTGTTTTAGTGATTTCTTTTCTCCTGCCCTCTGGGGGGACTGAGGTGGGGGAGGGAGTGTAGGAACTCTGAGAAGGGGGTGCTAGATTGATGTTCGCAGGTCAGGTGGAATGAGAGGTGTATTTGCCCCCTGATAAATGAGAAAAAACGAGCTAGCTCTGAATTTGTTAAGGCAGGTAGTTTGGTGCAACCACACAATGGCTGAAAACACTGGGCTCAGCTAATATTCCCACATGTATATTAGAAAATGTTCGATGTTCTAATGTGGCAAATTGAAAAAAATGTACTGCAAATTATTTGTGTGTATGAACTTACAAACAATAATCTTATCTGCTAGACATTACTGATAAGGTTGCTACGGAGAGGCCAGAAAATTTCCCAATGGAAAGGCAATTGATAGAAGAGAATATTTCAAAGTTAATTCATAAGGGTGACAAAATAAATTTTCATGTACATTTAGTCTATAAATGCAGTAATTCAAAGCATATAATTACACAGGGATTAATTAAAATTGTCACTAGGAATATATAAATGTTTTAATTAAATATTTTGGACTGGGAAGCTTTTCTTTTACTTAACTGATTTCATTGTTTTCTAAGATGCTGGTAACCTGGTTTTTGTGCTATTACGGATAATGAATGGTGTTCGAGGTTTCCTCTGCTTATAAATCTCTCTAGAAACATATTGTAAGAAGATGTTAAAATTGAAAACAAAAGTTATCTTTAGGTGACAAATAAAATACTAACTTATTAACCATATTATGGTTTTCTTACCTTAAAATTGAGCAAACCCATTGCAGTTTCCACAAAAGGGATTAAATTCATTGGTTGTTCAAGTTTTCGGCCTTTTAAGTGGAATGAAAATTTGTCTGCAAACTAAAATCAGAAGTGGCATAGGTGATTAGTGGGGAAAAAATGTACAATCACGGAAATGTAGATACAGAAGTAGTATTTAAGTCTTTGACCTGAGGAAGTCATATCCAAGCCTCTTTCGTCCACACAAAAGAATTAAAAAAAAAAAAACTAAGAAGACAGACCAAAGAAAAGGTAATGAAGTTCCCAGCAAACCAAATAGTAAAACCCCAAGCATTACAATTTTTTTTCTCGCAAAGGAGCAACTTGAGGCCTAGGAGTTAGAACTGGAAGGAGAGAGTATCAGCGCTTTCCCTGGAAACATATTTACCTAAGACCTCTTGCCCTCACTTCGTTAGATGCAAATGGTAGGCCCTTAAAACAATGAAGTCTTCCTCTACCTGCCATTCTGTTTTTGTTTCGTGCCCAGCACTGACATCAGTGTAACTGTTCAGCAGCCTTCTACATGGAGTCCATATTATTCATTACAGCACCGTTACCCTTTGTTCAGAAGGTTTTTCTTCATAATTTTTTAGCTTACCTAGGAAGACCTTAAAAAGGAAGTTTAATTCTTTGAAGACCAAAGCTCGCCAATTTTTTCCATGAGACCAGTTCACAGCTAGCTCTGTGCTGCCAGTGGGGTAGCCCAAATTCCAAAATCTATCATCTGGAAACATACAAAAGCTCTTGGCCAGATTCCTCCCCCCCTTCAAAAGGGGGAAAAACACACTCTAAATTGTAAATCTATTATGTCTATCTAGATCTAATAAGCTGTGGGGAGATAGAAAAGAAACACAGGTATGATAAAGATATTTTTGTAAATAAAGATGAAAACATATATATCCATTTTAAATTTAAGGAATATTCAGCCATTAATAGATATCAAAGGAAAAGGGAATTTTAATCATCTCTCTATTCAGTCTCAGTTGGGTAAATCATATCTAAGAGATTTGCATAAATATAAACCATCAAAGACTTTTCATCTTCAAAGGGGGTTTCAAGACCCTATAAGCTTTGTACTGTAATCATCACAGGTCACCACCCTGCAGGAATAAGGCTGCTATGGCAACATAAAAAAACTAATGCTTAAGGCTTAGCATAATATTCTGACTAATAGAAAGGAAACTCATTTGAAAAGCTGGCAGCCTATTTACCAGAAGCGGGATTAGAGGTGTTATTTCCCCTTTTAGCTGCCCCCTCCTTGCCGGTGCACCACCCCCCTAAAAAATCTAATCACTGGGATCTTTAAAAAGCTTTTGAGCAATTTGCAGTAACTTTACAATTAGGCTAAAATAAATCACAGCTTTCAGTAATGAAGAATTATTCCCAGTTGCTCCCACTACCCCCCTTCAAAGGGCATCACCATCACCTCCTCAGTAACTTTTCAGGGGAAGGAATAACCCAACCAAAATAGCCAGAAGAAGCAGAGGGCGACGATTTCAGGGGATAAAATGTATAGTATTTGAGGCAGATGAAAATCAAACATAATTTATTTCTCATTTATGCTAGAAAGTGGTAGCACAGTATTAGTGGCGTTGGTGTTAAAAATGTAGTAGGGATGTTTTCTGCCCCATTAAAGAAAACTTGCGAAGTGACTTGCCCCATTCTTTGTGGTAACAGTTACAACTACAAAAATCGTAGCGTTTAAAACCAAGTAAACGCTTTACAAGATATTCCCCGTTCTTAGTGAGAAAAGCCCTAATGCCTTTTGTTTTTAAGCCAATAGGGGCATTTAAAAATTAAATATTCCAGCCCATCCTCCTCCTCCTCCTCCCCCTCTTTCTTAAAAAATTGCATTAAGTACTAACACAAAAGGTAACTAGTGGAGAAGTTTCAATTAATTTTTTCAAAAGGAGACGATTAAATGTTTCCGGCCTGGTAAAGTGTTCATTTCAGCGAGGTGGAGGGGACTGGGGTAGGGGGAGGAGAAGAAGGGGGAGAAATCACAAAGAGATTGGGGAGGAGATGAAGTAGCAGGGCTCAGCGATTCTTTCAATTCCAGTGCACACCCAATAGTGTGCTGGAAGAATGCACACTGTTCGGGATTTGTGGGAGAATTGTCCCATGACAAAGGAGGCAGGGTTACGCTTGTTATAGTCCAATAAGCCGTGCCAGTCAAACATGAACCCACACTAGCGACAAAAGGCGAGCAAGAGATTCTCACACAAAAGAAAACAAGTAAGCCCATCTTTCAGTTGTGCATCAGGCTCTGGGTTTTATGCTTCGCATAAATACAAACGGAGAGGAAAAAATAAACAGCCAAAAGGACTTCTGTTAACTAGACGTCCGATTTAAATTTCTGTATGTGTCTCACTTCCAAGGATTTAAAACAGCAAACAGGAGCCGTAGCTGAAGGCTGGTGGGTCCTCCCTCCCCCATCTTAAATTAAGGGTAATAATGGTGATAAATAGGCATTAACTATGAAACCAAAAGGGAACAGTGACTTCAGAGTCCATTTCAATCAACTTAAGACATATTTGAACGAGCTCAGGGCCCTTCAGGATATTAACATACGCTAACTAGTATCTCAGCTTCTGAGGGTAACCCTGGAGAGAACACCAGCTTAATAAGTAAATACTGGTGCCTGAATATGGGTCTTCAACAAGGATCCAACACAGAGCTGTCCAAAAGAAACTGTATAGCAGCAGCTACATACATAATTTTAAATTTTCTCGGTAGCCACATTCAGAGGGTAAACTGAAACAGGTGAATTTAATAGTATCTTGTATTCAACCCAACAGATAACCAAATATTGTTTCAATGTGTAATCTATATAAAAACAACCGAGATAATTCACATTCTTTTTGTCCCCTCAGTGAATCCCAAGTCTTCAAAATTGAGTGTGTATTTTGCACTTCCAGCACATCTCAATTTGTGCTGGCCACATTTCAATGCTCAGAAGCCACATGTCACAGTGGCCGTGCCACTGGGCGATGCAGACTTGATGCATCCAGGTGCATTCAGAAGGTGACCAGTTTCGTAGGTGTTACAACCACTCAGGGTATTGCTGAGGCGGCAGCCACAGCCTCAGAGATAATACTAGATGTGGCTTCCATGAAACCACCACTGCCCACTCGCCCGGACCACAAATGCGTCCAGTTTTCACACCTCACAGACTCTCTGCCACTGAATGACACAGTGAAATGTTACTTTATTCAGGAGAGATCTGCAGAAGAAAAGCGACCCTCGAATAAAATCTAGCCCCTCCACCCTTTGTCAATTAAAACAATCATAGTGTAATTAGGCCCATTTCAAAAGTTTTCTTAAGTAATTTGACATGCCAGCCACTTTACATTTCAGGTTTTTATTGGCTGAAAAGTCTGTCATGAAACACAAACACACCTGTCAGCAATTTAAAAAGGACGCACTGGAGAACTGTTCAGGAAATAATATCTGTGCTAATTAAAACCACTAGTTAAAAGCTTCCTGTTCATTCCTCTAGTTGCCCTAAGGAGTGACCTTTTCCTCCCCTTCTTTGGGTTCATTTTTTCATATGCGGCAAATGTGCCCTCCCTGCCTGGGATGATTTCAGATGAATCTCAGTAAGAGCCACTTACGTCACTGCTCTTCCAGGTGGAGGCCTTGGCTTAGGGCCAGGTGGGGTGGAGGAAGGGATGAGATTCTCAGGCAACCTAGTTTCCAGGGATTACTGTGGGAGGGCTGCTGAGGAGGCTGTTCTGGCCAAGCCACACATCCAATTAGGAAGCGAAGCATCATTTCAGAAGTGCAGTTGTTCCACGGAACACTTCGGGCAGAGGCAAGCTTTCCTTGTGTGAAAGAAACGGATTGCTGCGCTTACTGCTTTTTCTCAGTTCCCTTCCTCGCTGCTCTGTGCATGCATTTTCCAAACCTGTGGCACCCAGATCCCTTCTTCCTGTTACTCCTCCTTAGCTGCTCCTGAGTCTTAAAGCAAAGCATTAGCTACTCACCCATTGGATTTCTTCAGGACTTTCCACCTTTGGTAGCATCAGGCTGGAAGGAAGGACCCGGGATTGCAGAAGGGTCTCTAGGTCGTCTTCCGCCAGACCGCTGGAAACTGAGTTGACTCTCACACATTTTTCAGTAGAGCCCAGATCAAAGTCCTCAAGAGTTTTTACAATTCTCAGTCGAGCTTCATTCTATAAGTGTCAATAAAAATGTGTTTATTTTTATTATTGAGGGGAGCACCATCAAATGGTCTATGAAACTGTTACATGGATTCAGAGTCTGAGCACCATTATTCTATCTACACATTTCCTGTCCACCAAAAAAACAATATTTGAAAGAAGTCATCCAGTCTGAAAGGTGAGCAGTTGACTTCCAGGCCTCATTCAGGATGGCTCTAACACGGCTGAGATGCACTGTAATGCACATTGGTGCACGGCAATGCCGTGCTTCTCATTAGCATCACTTCCCAATTGGAAGGGAAAAATAATTAATAGGTAATTTTTCACTGATTGAGCATTAACTAAGTGCTAAGCATGGTTGTATGTTCTTTACCTGCACCTTCTCGTTTAATAAACATAAGAAATTGGCTAACATCTGGATCGTGGCTGTCTCGTCTGTCAGCTTCTTTACATTAGGGGAAAAAGTAAGGATTTTTCTTTTTCCACAAGCATGATGCTTTTTTTTTTTTTTTTTTACTATTTTATTGCAACTGAGTTGAATCTTGACATTCAATTAAGAAGATGCTCACAGGAATCTGACAAAGGTTGCTACAAAAAAAGCCCCAATTCCTTCAGGTGGAAGGCAAGGAATCCCTTCATGAAGTGCTTGACAAATACATTTTTTTCTTTGCCTTGACAGGCTTTGCTCCACAGTTCAGAGAAGCTGAAAGGCTGAATGTCTGCCTCAGTATTTGAATTATCCCCAGAAAAACTATATGAAACCAAGAATCTCACGTATTGGCTTTGGCTCTGGGGTGATGAAGATGGGGAGGGGGAGAGAAAGAAGTGCATGCAGAGGGTAAGTGCTAGAGTCGACAGAAAGAAGGCACTTGGGTCATTACTTCCTGCCAATTTCAGTTTCAAAAGCAAACTCCTCCAACTTGCCAACAGCCCTCAACAAATTCTCATTGTCAGAATGAACACTTATCAAAAGTAGATTCATTTGGGAAGGGCTTTTATGATACTAATAAAACTTTAAAGCTTCTCACTTTTTTTTTTTTTTTTTTTGTTTAAGTCTTAATATATAGCCATTTGAAAAGCAATACTGATCTAGGAAAATAGCAAACCAAAATGGCAACAAAAAAGAATTATTTAAGCCAATATTGAGTCTAAGTTCCAGTCAACAAGACAACCCAGGACAGAAGATTTAAACCAGACAGACGTGGGTCTGTGAGCGAGGAGAAGCAAGGAAGCTTCCAAATGTGGTCTGAGTTAGACAGTGTGAGGAAACGGCAGCTTAGAGTTGTCAAGTCAGAAGGAAAGAGAACCTAAGACAGCTTAGGACAGCTCTGTGAAGTCCTGATTTACAGAGTTCAACTGCCAATGATTAGGCAAAGTGTAGACAAAAGCAAGAGAGAGCTCAGACTAGCTAGTCAGAGATGATGCAGCCAACAATGGCTTGGTTCCACATCATACCTTTGTTTTATTCCATAGATAAAAAACTCGCCCACTTGCTCTCCCACACACTCTTTATTACAGCCATTAAATACAAAAATCTTTTTTTTTTTTTTTTTTTTTTGGTGAGACAGAGTCTCACTCTGTCACCCAGACTGGAGTGCTGTGGTGCGATCTCGGCTCACTGCCATCTCTGCCTCTCGAGTTCAGGCAATTCTCCTGCCTCAGCCTCCCGAGTAGCTGGGATTACAGGTATCCGCCACCATGCCCAGCTCATTTTTGTATTTTTTAGTAGGGACGAGGTTTCATCATGTTGGCCGGGCTGACCTCAAACTCCTGATCTCAGGTGATCCACCCGCCTCAGCCTCCTAAAGTGCTGGGATTACAGGTGTGAGCTACCACACCTGGCCCTAAATACGGAAATCTTAAAGGTGAAGGGCAGAAGTTAGCGCAGTATCTTGGCTCTAAAGCAGTCTAGAGCTGCTGGGAGAAATACTTCCAGCTCTGGCCGGGCTCAGTGGCTCACACCTGCAATAACAGCACTTTGGGAGGCTGAGGCAGGCGGATCACGGGGTCAAGAGATCAAGACCATCCTGGCCAACATGGTGAAACCCCATCTCTATTAAAAAAATACAAAAATTAGCTGGGCATGGTGGTGCACACCTGTAGTCCCAGCTACTTCCCAAGTAGCTGAGGCAGGAGCATTGCTTGAACCCAGAAGGCGGAGGTTGCAGTGAGCCGAGATCGTGCCACTGCACTCCAACCTGGAGCCTGGCGATAGAGCAAGACTCTGCTTCAAAAAAAAAAAAAAAAAAA